AGAGAGATTTATATATATATATGTAAGTAAAACGCTTAGCATTTTTCAAGATAATAATAATAATACGTAAAGCCTTCAGGGGGTTTCATTGAGAGATCCTAGTTAGCCAAGGAGGGAGCATAGAGACAGAGACAGACAAATGAACAGGTGTATAGATCGAAAGCGAGAGAGAGAGAGAGAGATAGCGGGAGAGCGATAGAGTAGAGAGCAGCAGTGAAATGGATTGGTGTATTTTTGTTGTACAGAAGACAGAGAATTTGTTGAATTTTGAAACTGAATGTTGAATAGTTTGAAGTGCGCGCATGAGATTTGTTATGAAATATGCTAATATTATTTATTTAATCTACATTTGTACAAATTCACCGAGAGAGAGAGAGAGAGAGAGCGAGAGAGAGAGAGAGAGAGAGAGCGCTTAAAGTAAGCTGGTTTCTAATTGAGTTTAGTATGAAAATCTCTGTACAACATTTGAAGCGAAATGCTCGCTGCATTGGTTTCATAGCATTCAGCTTTTGAGCAGCTGTCGGTGTTGGCATTTCTTCGCTGGTTTCGGATGGTTATTCTTTATCTAGATTCGCACTACATTGCTAGTTATATGTAATTATTATTGATTTTGTTTGTTCTTTTTATAAGTATAATTCAATTTGATTGACTGTTATTAATGTTTATATATAGTATATATAGTATATGTTAGATATTCTAGGACGATGAGTCGCAGCTACAGGAATTACACATGTTAATGGACAATGTTGGATGTTCTATGGTCTGGCATTGGTATTGGTATAGGTATTGGTATAGGTATTAGCATTGGTATTGGTATTGTTATTGGCATTGGTATTGGTATTATTATAGGTACTGGCATTGGCATTGGTATTGGTATTGGCATAGTTATTGGTATATTGGCATTGGCACAGGAGCTGGTGTTGTGTTGTTTAATGGCTGAGACGTAGGTACGCATTAAATGACTTGAACTTTTAGTATTTACACAAACGAATCGGAACGGAACGAAACGAAACGAAACGAAACACGACGGCCATGGAGATTGTGAGGTGCATAGCCGCGCGCACACAAGGTCCAGTGATTTATTGATTCGAGATACAAAACATTTGTAATGAACTCAAACACAAGTCGAACTAAGTTCAAAGTAAGAGAAAATTCAAATCAAAAATCAAACATAAATAAATAATTTAAACAATGAAACTTTTTGCCGTTGACCAAAAAAAAAAAAGGCACTTTGCTGCGAACTCAAATATTTGAATACACAATAATGAAATATAGTCAATATATATAGATAGATAGTTAGATAGATAGATAGATTATATATATATATTATACACACATTACGAGGCCAATAGTATAGGAATATACAGTTCTTACTCTCAATAGGGTTAAACAATTAAACAAACAAACAAACGAACGTACAACGATTATGACAGGAATTTAATGTAGTTTTTTTTTTTTTTTCTTTTGTTTTCTTTTGGATAATACGAATTACGAGTTTTTGGGGGAAAACTGTGAGTTATATAAGAATACATACGAAATACGACAAACAACATAAATTATAGAACAATACATTTATTTTGATAAGTTTCTTTTTGAATTTTGTTGAAATCATAATAAGAAGAAAACAACAAAGTGACATCGACTCAAATAAACATAGTCCACATTAAGCACGGAAAAGTTCTAGACAAATAAACCCAAGTGGATGTGGAGTGGGTAGGGGGATAACGGAAACACAATTGATACTAGCTGGACTAATTACGGTAAAATGGTAAATGCAATCAACTTTCTTAAGCAGCTGCATTATCAGGGATTAGAATGCGAAATACTGAGTATAAATAAGACTTTGAGTGTGCAAAGAGAGAGTGACAGACAGAGAGAGACAGACAGAGAGAGAGAGAGAGAGAGAGAGAGAGAGAGTGAGAGAGAGACAGAAAGAGAGATTGACAGAGTACGAGTATGTTAGATCCAAGCCGTCCGACTGGACACAGGACAAGCACTTTTGAATGGTTTGATAGATTGAATTTCTGAGATGTTTTCGAAACAGCGAAATGTGAGAACTGCAAATACATTTACATATGCACATATACCATATAAAGTATATAGAATGGATGGAGCTGGGATTTGTTGGGTTTGCTGGATTCATATGATGTGTGCTCGATAAAGCCTTGAAGAGATTGTCAGATATGAAATGTGAGCAGGTTTAAAGCAGAGCAGAGGATGGAAAGAGTTGATTTGTTATGGGAGTATTATACCTTGACATTGCATAGGTTGAATATGGGGTCTTGGAAGAAATACGGGTAGTACGATTAAATATTCAAGGGTACGAAAAAAATCCACTGTTTGGGAAGCTTTAAATACTGTTTGATAGTTAATTAGCTGATGGCCGAATGGTTTCTGGTTTGTTTACTGGAGTATTACTTGGCATTGGGTTAGCATATATAGGTTAGTAGCAAGTAATATTAGTACTTAGTAGTAGTAGTAGTAATAATAGCAATAGTTGAGGTACAGTTAGATAGGTGTACAAGTATTCGGTTTAGATAGTTATATATATACGATAGATACATATTCAATATACGTTTAAGCACGAACAAAAGCGCACATTAGCGTCTAACGTTAATCGATCGACGAGTATCGATGAATATCGATTGCTATAAATTTGTAATTGTTAGCTGTACAATCGATAGCTGGAGAGTCGATAGCTGCCGAAGCAAAACTACATCATATTGATTGGAAATGGTTAATCGATAAGTATCGAATGTTTTACAATTATAATTGTCAGCCGATGGCTTGAAAATCAACATACTATATAATCGATAGATACGAAAGTATATGAACGAAAAGATTAGATAGTCAATCGATAACTTAAAATCGATTATTATCAATAATTATCAACTCGATAGACATCGATATACTGGTTATGAATGAAGAACAGTGAATAAAATCGATAAATCTCAATAAATGTCGAACGTCGAACATCGATTAACGTCATATCATAAATCGAATTAGAATCATAGTTATCGATAGCAGAGATAGATTAGATAGAAGAGACACAAAATAGCACAGCACATACAGAATTGTATGCATTAGCAGACAACATTCAGCTAGAAATAATTACCACCTCTCCCTCGGCTCTCTTTCTTTCCAGCTCCTTTTGCTTTTCATGTTCAGCGGCAATGCGTTGTTCAATTTGCACCAATGATTCGCGGGTAAAGGGACGGAACAAACTGCGTTCTTCCTCAGATATCGAGTCGGAATCTTCTGTCATTGTCTATGCGGCCAACGATGAGAGCCTTAGATTTCCAAGGCCTGCAACAAACAAGGATACAAAATTACGCAAAGATTCGATTATGATTATTCAATTTGAATTTCAATTTCAATTTCAATCTCAACTCGTTTGTAATACTCACATGAGGCACATGGATGTCGCCTGCTACATTAAAGCTACAACTATATCCGAGGCGCCATGTTCGAGTAGCGCCCGCCGCTTAGCACGATGCTGCAATTGAAAAGAATGAATACAAAAACAGTTAATACAACAAATTAGCGAATTTATTCCTTATGAATTCAATAATCATCGAGTGGGCCAATGTAGAGCAATGCACTCGCTCTACCAGCACGTCGCGCACATTGAACCCGTTTGCCTGAATGACTAATTGGATTAGCGCAGCTAACGATAGGCATTAAGTGCATTCCAATCAAACACAAACAAAACAAAAACAACAAAAAAAAAGGAATGGATACAATTGACAATCGATATAAATAAAGTGTCAGCTGCACAGAATACACTGGCAGAAATTTGCGTGCTTGTTAGTTGTGGACAGTTACAAGGGTGGGGAGAGAGACACAGAGCGAGGGAGACAGAGAGAGAGAGAGTTTTCTGATTTACTTTTACTTTTGATTTTATTAATACATATATACATACATATATAATATGTGTATATGTACGTTCGCATACATAGAGAATTTTATAGTTTTATTTAATTGAGTTGGGAACTTTTTTAAACGAAAGCAAATTGAATTATGAAAGTGACTCTTCTCCTTTTTTATTGCATTTACCTTCAAACTTTGTGTTGTGTTAAGCAATTTGTGTGCACAAATATTTTACAAATTGCTTTTAAGTAGAGTGTCAAAGAGCTGCTTTCAGCATCTGGCTATATAAGCGTGAACTGTGCTGTATGAACTGAAGGCCTGAGCTATGGAACAAAGTGAAAGACCCAACTTAAGCAGCGAAAATGAAAATTTAAAAGGAAAAGTTTAAGCTGACAGTAGTTGTGGAAGTAATTTTTTTAATTTTTTTTTTTTCAATTTTTTTTATTTTTATTTGGTTTATTAAGTGTAGAAATATGGAAGTAATGATAGTAATTAAATTTTAAAAGGAAAAAAATGCATTAAAAAATGTATACATATATAAAATTTATAACGAAATTATAATCAAATTTTAAAAAGAAAAACATGTCAAAT